ACAAGCAGGGAGGAGTGGGAGAGGGATAAGCAGGCTTCCCACAGAGCAGGGAGCCCAATGCGGGGCTCGATCCCAGGACCCAGGGATCACGACCTGAGCTGAAGGCAGACGATTAACGACTGAGCCACCCAGGTGCCCGAGGCTTTCATTTTTGATACGAGATTTTTAATATATATTTGTTCCCTGAATGTGTTTTCTTTCAACAGAGTCTATTTATTTATTTATTATTTATTTATTCATTTTCATTTATGCAGTATCTTTTACCTCTCTGAAAACATTTATGCCATTTTGTTTTTTTTCTTTATATTTCATGTTAGAGGCTTCCTTCAAATATCTGGTTATTGTTGGTGTTTGATTATATATAGCAGACTCTAAAAGGCTCACTGGACACTCTGGGTGCTTGCCCAAGGCTGAAAAACTGTGAGCTTTGCTATAGCATGATATGTTGGATCATTTTGTTTGGAATCCATGATATGTGTCTTTACATAGAATCAATGTAGTGTAATGATTAAGAATATGAATTCAGTAGCTAATCTGCCCATGTTTGATTCTTGGTTTTGCCCTAAGTAGCCACATGAATTTGAGCAAATTATTAACCTCTCTGTGTTTTGGTTTCCTCATTTGTCAGATGGCTGGAAAGATACTATCACCTAATAGAAATCTTGTAAAATTAAAATGATTTAATATTTGTAAATAATTTAGAATAATGTCTCACACATGTTGAACTTTATCTGTGTTAACTGCTCATCATTATCTCTCTGGTGAAGTTCAGTTGTGCTTGAAAAAAACTTATATTGTTTCTACTGGAGGAATTCTAAGGAGCAGGACAGAAACAGGGCTGGGTTGTAGACTCCAACTTATTTCTTCTGGTTTCAGTATGGGCTCCCCTGGCTCACCTGTGTGTACTGTGCTCGTTTCATCTCTAGAGAATAAAATCCTCTAGTCCTCTGTTTGGGTGGGATGGAGCAGTTATTATGCTGCTCAGAGAAAGAAAGGGGATCAAGGCTCTAACTTTTTAAAAGACATTCTTTCAATAAATTTTACTTTTGTTAGATCTTTGATCATTCTGGCTTTGAGAGGGATATAAAAATGCCAATCTCTGAAAGTTTTGTGGGCAGGAAAGGGTTCTAAAGGTTACTTAAATCTAAGGAAGTTACAATTCACCTGTCTTCTTTCCAGCTTCCAAAATTTTGTTTCTGTTGTACATTGTCCCATTCTTTTTCGCCTTGTGGTTTCATACCATGGGAGAGAACATGTACTCAAAGATTGTATTCAACTTGCCATCTCTGCCACAGTTCTTGGTCTTTTTTTTTTTTTTTTAAGAAAATTAACATATAAGCATTTGGTGGTATGCTCTCTTTTTAAAAAATAATTGGAATTATAAAAATATCTCACTATCGTATAGCGTGCTTACACGTAGTGTCTTATTTGATCCTCACAAAAAACACTGAGAGGTTGGCAAAGTTATTTGACTATTATGAAAACTGAAATTCAAAGATATTAAGGGGCTTGCATAAGAACGACTTGCATAGATTCCATTAATAAGAGATACACAACTAGTGATCATTACTTCTGACTCAGCCCACATTATTCAGAATCTATATATTACTTAAGTAATAAGTAAGTAATTATTTCTGAATGGTCAGGTTTATTGAGAAAAACAAAATCCTAAGCTTCATATTCAGCCTATGAGTTTGTTCAGATACTTTTTCAAATACTTTGTAAGTTGTCTTAGCTTCTTTAAATTTGAGGGTTTCAGTGAAATTCATGTTGTGCAGACCTTTTGTTTTTAAACCTGATACACTAGATTCTCTTCACTACTAACTATAATAGAAGTAATAAGATTGCCCGAATGGCATCTCCCCACTACCACACACACAGAGCCCACAGAGGCAGTGATGATTTTTAATAATATCTCTTTATAGCCATAAATGGGAGGTGCAAAGAAGTGACTCTGCTAAATTGGAAATTGAGGTCGAAGAATGACAACAAATCAAGCAAAAAGCCACATAGAATATCTGTGACCATCAGATAGTCAATTTTTTCTAAATTGAAATATTCCTTATTTGGGTTTTTTATTTTTATTAAGAGAAACAAAACAATTTGGGTGACTTTTCTATCTAAATCTATTCTACAGTTTTAAGAATAATAGAAATATTTATATCTTCTGCAGGTAGGAAAGATGAGTGAAGCTGTACAAAAATCATAGACAATAGATTTCTGAAAATCGGAAGTAAATCAGTAGGAGGTACTTGTGTAGCAATGGAAGATTGGAAATGATTAGTTTCAAAATGAATGTCAATAGTAATTCTAGGAAGTACTCACAGAAATAAAATATCAGTGCAGGAAAGCAGTCAAAGAATTTCGTATGAAAATGTATTTTGCAAAATCCTTATTTCATCAATTAAAGGTCATAGATTAGATATCTCAAATGTAAAATAATTCTACATTCACATTAATTTAAAATTAAACTATATATATCTGCAAAGGAGATTAGGATTAGTTTTTAATTTCTTGGTTTTCAGTTGTTAAAAAATTTGATCTGTTTACACAGCAACATATTAATAAGGGATATGTTATACCTTTAAAAATGTAATTCTCTTTTTTAAAATTTCTTGTGATACATAGTCTTTAAATTAGAAAATACTACTTCTGAAATTCTAATATATAACAAGTTATAAAAAGAGAAAGACATAATTATGTATCATTTTATAAATATATAGACATATTTAAATGATTAGTGCCATTGTAAATATTCTGTTCCCCC